CTGCCCTCTCCCCAGAAAGGGGAGAACAATGCTTTCCACCCTGCCAATCCTTGGCCGCTCTCGATCAGGGAACCTTCACGAAGAAATACAGATCGTCTCTAATTAAAGTCCAACAAAGTTTCATCCGTTTCCGTTTTTCTCCGTTTTTCTCTTCAAAAGGAACGCTCCCTCCTCGGTCGGGAAGATAGGAAAATTCTTAAATAAGTAACACTCCTAGTAATAATCTATTCAACCACGGCTAACGACGGTTTGGTTAACACGCGCGCGACGTTAAAAGCGCGTCAAGCCGTCGAACGTTGTAATCTTTCGGCGTAATATATCTCACGGCGTGGCTGGAGGGCAGCTAATTTTCGCGTTGGCGGTCGCGTTTGAGGGAGAGACGGGGAGGAGGTTGAACGACTTAACCAAACGTAATTAACGTTGGCCTATCATTATGTGGTAGCGGGACCACACCCTCGTCACATTATATGTTTATAAATCAGGGCAACGGGGAACGGGTTGTAAAAAAAAGGGAAGAAAAGAAAAAGGGAGGGAAAAAAAAAAAAAAAACACGAGGACGAAAATCGAACGAAGTCCGGGGGCGCCTCCTCCCGACCAACGAAGGGGGAACGAAAGGAGGAGGGGGAGAGGGCCTTGGCGTCCGTTGGCGAGCAGGTAGAGGAATTCTTATGCTAATGATTTTATGATCGTGGAAATGAATGCTCGTCATATTTTTTTAATCGCCTGGGTTTCCANTAGCCCGCGAGTCACGGACCGGCCGGCCGGAGAGAGAGAGAGAAACACACTTCCCCTCCCCCTCGCGTCCCTCTTTCTCCCGGATCAAATCCTTTCCCCGCACCGTGTCCACCACACTTTATGCCCATCCGTTTTTTTATCGTCCAGTTGTTACAGTCTTAACCGGGACGGGTGAGTCTTATACTCATAAGTGTACCACTCATAATCGTAAAGTAAAACTCGCGCGGGAACGAAAGACATTTCTTTTTTCTCGAAAGGCATTTTTCGAACGGTACTACGCTTTCTTTCGCGAGAAACCATGGGAACGGATTTTAAACTTTCGAATATCGAATAACGAATGCACGAGTGTTTCCATTGCATTGGATTTTGGATTAATAATTAATAACGGGATTACATTCGATTTATATAGTCGATGTAATCGTTTCTCGAGCAATGAATCTCGATTGTCATATTAATTGCATTATATACTTGATCGTAGGAGGAGACAATTAAAAAAAAAGAAAAAAAAATCGACGATGATAATGCGAAAAGCGGAAATGCGTTGTACAGTTGCATATCAATGAGATTCGTTAAATGGATAAAGCGGGGAGAATCATCGGCGTGAAGAAGATTCGAAACGAGTGGTAACTTAGCTTTCCTAACTAAGGAAAACAAGTGTGCGTGTCAAGTGGCGTGTAATTAATCGTAATCTAGATCGTTGTGTATGTTGATCCCCGGCGCGAAGAAACCAGGTTGTGCAAGAATCTCGTTTCATTTTCATATCAATAGCATCTCAACTCTCTCTATCCTCGTCCCTATCCTTTTATCTCGTTCGACTTCACGGAAGAACACCTTTCAATAAATTTCAACTTCAATTCCTCCGCTGCTCCATTTCCTTCCTTCCTTCCTTCCTTCCTTCCTTCCTTTTTTCTTTTCCCTCTCTCTCTCTCTCTCTCTCTCTCTCTCTCTCGTTCGAAAGAAAGGCGAGATGCTCGAGGCGGTGGCTCGGTGAGTGAGACGTCGAGGGGAAAGGACGGTGCAGCAGAGAGACGCGCCACGGAACATGCATTACGAGGTAACAATTACATTGTGTTCGCGCGAACCGCGTATGTAAATGCAACCGTGGAGCCGACGTGGACAGTGCGTATAAAGGTGCTCGCGCAACCAGCGACTCTCACACTGGCTGGTTGGCGGGCAGGTGTGCCAACAGCTGAGTCCAACCACCCACACACGCGCAGCGCCAGCTAAGACCAACTCCGACACCTTGATGGATACTACCGTGTCCCTGTTTCGCGTTGCATTGCGCAAGGTGCATCGTGCCTGTTTTCCTCCGCCTAACGAGCACGGATAACGTAATCCTTTCAGGCCTATTGTGACCTGCCTAGCCGGGAGAAAAGTGATCGCCCGTTTCCTAATTTCCTATTTCGGACGAACGCCAAGAAAAACTTTTGCCAATGACTTTTTTCCCTCGACAAGATGCGATGAAATTTGGAACGCACAGTTTCACAGTTCGAAAAATGATGATGATCTCGAGCTCGTTCGTGGAAATGGAAGAAGAAAAGTTTCGCAACGAAGATGGATAATGGAAAAAACGAGTATCTCTGTGATAAGCGAACCGGTTGAAATACGACTTCCTGCTTTGTCGGAAAGTGGCACTGTTTGGCTCGCTTCTTTTTTTTTTTCCTTTTTTTTCTACGCACGTATCACCAAGAGACCGTGAGTATTCCTCTTCCGGATTTCGTTGTTGGATCGGCTCACTGACGTAACGGATATAGCCGCGATAAGAGCACGAAATCCTTGAGCAGGTGGCCGGGCGCCGCCTCTCGACAGGTCAGGAACGGTAAACGCCTTTAAGACCATTGTAACGCACATGCTCGTCCAACATTTTTACAAATGTTATATAGGTCAAAATTAGCATCCCCCACCGTTAATTGCGCCCGGAACACCCGCCTCCCCCTCTTCCCCGGGTTACGTTAACACGTGTACGAAACACCTTTGCAACGCCGAAAGGTGTTGGCGCAAGAAAATGCGGGTCAAGGGTTTGGAGCGCGTTTCCTTCGAGATTTCATTGATTCAACGCGCGTTGCGCGATCGTAAATAAAAAAAGGAGGAAAAAAAGATCGCAAAGGGATATTCCTTTTTAATTTTATCACTTTTGTTATCGAATCTGAATCCGTGACGAAGAGGAAAGCGATGGCGGAGGACGTGGGGCGCCCTATGGGGCGGAACTCGTGGAGCAATGCGTATTTCGTAGGATCGAGGAAGGGAAAAAGAAAAAGAAAAAAAGAAAGAAAAAAGAAGAAAGGAGACGAGAGATTCGCCCCTCTCGGGATTTGAAACAATCTAATCGCGGACGCCATTTTGTTTCTGCCTACCGGAGCAGTAGTTGATATATGATCCCATTGGCTACCAAGCTGTTCGGTTCCCAGCTCTGTACTGGACAGCAGCCTCGACCTCAACCTTATGGTGGTTGCTGTATAGCCATAAGGACTCTCTCTCTCTTTCTCTCTCTCTTCGGTTGCCCTGGCAATTAAAATTCTTTTCCTCCCGCCATGGTTGCTCCTGCATCTTCTTCTTCTTCTTCTTCTTCTTCTTCTTCTTCATCTTCTTTGTGGTCCTTCTTCTCGATGCTCGGTCTGCTCTCACCTTCTCCCGTCTTCTCTTCGCCATTGCCTACTCCACTTCTTCTTCTTCTCCTTCTTCTTCTTCTTCTTCTTCGTGTTCTTCTTTCGCATCATCTCTGAGTGCGCGCGGAAGATAGGCGTAGCAATTAAAACTGCCCGCTCGGGCCCGGACGTTTACACGATCCTTAACTGCTGGTAGCGCGAGGGTTGAGGTTGGCAACTGACGTGGCCAGCTTAAGTAGCCGGTCAAGGGAAACGGGTAATTATACGAAACGTCGGTGTTTTCGAGCGCACTATCATCGAGTCGAGGCGAAAGCACCTCGACGATTGCGGCGGCTTCGTTAATTCAACCATTCCCGATACTTCAATGTTCTCGAAAAACATTCGCGATAAATCGGATTAAGATAACAGCGTCGTTAATTCGTATTAAAATCCGTTGATTCTCTCGAGAAGTTCCAAGTTTCCCTACGATTTCTTTCGGTTCAAAGAATAGCTAATTTTTTCCCCCTAACCCAATCTATAAAACCGGTCAATTCCAAGAGTAACGAGTTAAAAATTGAGAAAAAGAAGAGAGAGAAAGAGAGAGAGAGGAGGATTAATTTAATAGAAATTAAACGAAAAGGAGAAATTGTATCGACGGATCGATAGCGAGTCTCGAGTCTTCCTCTCGTTAACGGTGGATAACGTGTACGTGGATAAGCCGGGGATCAAAGGGGAGAGGAACGATATTAAACGCGTTAGAATCCTTTCACTCTCTCGGGCACAGGCGGCGGACGGTGAAAAATTATCGTACGAGTCAAAAGTTACCGCGTGCATTACGGCTGCTGCTCGTTACGCGCGCGTGAAATTGAGTAAGAAACGAATTTATGGAACGCAACGAATCGAAGACGTAGAAAGTTCCCTTCTCTCGTCCGAGATGTTCCCGCTTCTTCGGGGCCCGAGCGAGTTCGCCGACTGATGAGGAGAGGCCGGTATATAAAAAACGTATATAATCGGTTCACGCCAATTACGGCGTATCGATGCGCCAACAAATTTCGCGGACGCCGTTAATTGATAATAAAAAACTAAAACTCTTGTAATTGACGCGTTAATTTATAATTTTATCGTGCGACCGGAACTCGCGTTCGATGCAATCGATCAATGTTTCGATTATTCTCGTATTCTCGTATTCGGAAACGTTGTGTCTCGTAAATTCGTAAAACGTTCCGACAAATCGGTGTTGTCCGCTTATATCGTTCAATCGTTACGAGTGGCGTTCGACGAAAAGGCAGGTGGATATCGACGCGATTCTAGCGAAGGTCGTTTCCATATATATGTATATGTGTATATTTTATTTTCAACGGTGAATACACTTTGTAAGTTGTATTTTACTAACTTTATACGGTTGATCGACACCTGAGATGAGATAAATCTCAAGATATTCGTTTAAAAAGTGAGTAATCGCGACGTGTAATGTAATTTTCCACGACTTATCGGCGATCGCGTGTATACCGTTCAAAGCAGGTGGAACACTTTCGACGATCAACCACTAATTGCCTCGCTTCCACGTGGACTCTGCATTCCAGGAATACCGCGCTGATACGAGGTCGATTATATTACGGATAAAGCACGACCCTCCTCTTCTCCCCCCTCCCCAGTCCCTTTCATAGAAGAAAACGAACGACTCTTGACAAATTGTTCCTCCTCGTCCCCTTCTTTCTTTTTTTCCCTCCGCTACTTAAGATTCATCATTTATGTATACAAGAGAGAGAGAGATTACGATCGAGAGATTCGGAACGAAAGCTCACGCCCAAGCTGCTGAGAAACTTGCAAATTTCACGGAGCGAAAAACTGGTGTTCCGTTATCGAGGAATTTAGCATAAAACAGTTCCATGTAACGTATCTCCTCGTTGGCTAATTCGTACGACACGCGAGCAACAACCGGACAAAGAGAAGTTACTAATTTCGAGCGGAGTCTATATTTGGGTTCTCGCGTGTGCGCTTCACCTCTGGCTCCGGTTCTTCTTTTTCCTTTTCTTTTTTGCTCTTTCTTTTAATATCGTCGCCGAGGCCCCAGACTCCATAATATGCGAGGTCCGTATACGCGAGGCTGGGGGCCCCGGTGTGGTTGTCGGTCGTCGGGCACACAGGATATAGGTACCGGCCTTAACCGTCGCTATGGTCGCTAAAGCTAAGCGTGTATGCATGTTCGGTGCATAAATAAGGAGCACAGCTCGGGAGGCATTAAATCACGTGCGGGGATCGCGCGCGTATGTGTGTGTGTGCGCGCGTAAGAAAGAAAGAGGAGAGGAGCGGAGGATGGAAAGAAAGAAAGAAAGAAAGAAAGAAGGGAGAAAGGTTGAACGAGGAGCGAAAAATCGAAAAGAGGTAAAAAAGGAAAGGAGAGACAAAGACGCGGTCGAAGAGTGGAGCATCCGTGGATGCGGAGCTGCTATACAGCGTTACGTCCCCGGTTGCGTTCGAGTTTGCATCGGGCCGCGCACCCCCGTCGAGCCAATATGCCCCTCGCATCAACGGTTGCCCACCTTCTTGAGTAGTCCCGCGATTATGCTCCGTACACGGGTAAACAAGTATCGGGGAACGAGCCACGGTTTCGCCCATCTGTAACCACCACCCATCTAATCTTGCGGGAATGGCAATTAAGTCGTTCGATCGTAAAAATCTATCATCCCGCGGAACCCCTTCTTCTTTTCCTTCTTTTCTCTTGACAGCGAAGACGAAACTCGATTATATATAGATAGATCGATCGAAAGGAATTTGGACAGTTATATATATATATATATATATATACTTAAGAGAAGAAGAAGAGATTGCAATTGTTGTCGAAAAAGAGAAAAAAGGGAAGAGGTGTGGAGAAACGTTCGTTTCCATCGTTAAGTACGATGAGACGGGGAGGGGGGGAGAAGTTTCGATTCGGTAACGAGGCAGCAGCGAGAAGGCAGGAGAAGAAAAAGAAGGAGGCGGTAAAGGCAGTGCCTATCCAAAAACGCCTCGCACAATCTATCACGCGCAAAGAGCGCAGCAAGAAGTGAGGTTAGGAATGTTAATGTGGGCAGCGGGAGCGGGCAGCCAGTGCGCATGCGCCACCCCCCGCGGGGCCAATCACCGCCCGAGAAATGGTAGCTGCGCCCGGAGTCAGCTCGTCGGCCACCATAACCTCGCCAAGATGGAAGAAGAATCCTTCGGGGTGGAACGCGATCTTCCTTTCCCTTCTACTCTTTGTTTTACCTCTGCCCTCTCTTTCCCTCGTTCCCCTCGCCAACGAAGACATCCTCCGCGGACTTCAAGAAGTTCTCTCGCGAGAAGAAATACACGTTTACGTCCTTCGCTCTCGTGCCCCACATTCCCCTTTCATCTTCACGAACGAACACATCGATTCGAAGAAATAGAGTTTCTAATTCGCGCCGATTCTCTCGTTTGGGATCGATACATATACATAACGAATCGCTTATTCTTTTTCGAATAAAACGAAGGGAGGAGGAGACGAAGAAGGAAAGTGGAGAAGGTGTACTAAGAAGAAGGGGGAGGAGGGTATAAGGCGATTGCGTCCGAGCTTGTGTAAATCTCGTTGATGGAAATTGTCCGCGGACCTTCGGTTTGTTCGGCGATTACATCCTGCGGAGAACGCGTTCGCCAGTAGCACGAGTCTTTCTTTCTCATCCGTCTCTCTCCCTCTTCTCCCTATCTCTCTCCAAGAATCTTCTTTCTTCACGGACGCCGAGATTAATGAGCGCACCGCTCGGTACTTTTAATTCCAAAGACCGAGTGCAAATAAGTACCGCCATCCGTCTTGTCCGCCAATTACCACTAAGCTGTTCTTTCTTCATCCTCCGTGTCCTCCCCCTCTCTCTCTCTCTTTCCTCTCCTCTCCTTTCCCGTTTCGCGTACAAGCCAACAGATACCGCGTCTAATCACGTATCGGAGTAACTAATCGAACTACAACATGCCTCGAGAACGCGATCGAACTTTGTCGTAGATGTTGATGGATTTCTGTTGGACGTTTGACGAGCGGTAGCGAAGTAATGAAGACGGCGCTCGATCGGCCATTTCCCGTCGAAATATCTCCCCCGTCCCTCACCCGTTCGATCTCTCTCGAACGTGGTAACGGTAAGTGGTTATGACACGGTTTGAAAAGTTGCCGTCGATGTGAATATTTTCTTACGGTTTATGACCTCTCTCTTTTTCGAGAGAGAGAGAGAGAGAAAAGTTCGATCGAATCTACCTTCGCTTCTTAAATCGTCAATTACCGGGAACCGAGTGTAGACTTTTGTCTCCGCGCTGTCGCATTAAAGCAACATTGAGAAAAGTTGGACAATAATGTTGGAATACCTACGACGTCCAGAATATTCCTGAATCGAAACGGTTAACATCGGTGATATATACATATATATACATGTGTGTATAAAGGTACCTGTACGCAGTCACGATGAATGTAAACAACGACGGGTGATGCACGCCAATCACGTTGGGGACCAGAGAGCGTTCCACCCACGTACTACAGGGACTGAAATTGTCTAAAAGTGAACGAGCTTACGACCTTTCGTACGGGCGGAGATCCCAAATTAGAGGAATGTCTGATTTACATCTCGAGATATCTCGGATGAAGCTATAAATAATTTCGGTGGTGGAATGTTAATGTGGCCCTAGGCCTCGAACCGAGCCGATGGCTCCAGGACCCCCCGCCAAACGCAGACGTCCACTCACGACCTTTAAAGAGATACTACTACCTATGGACGTTCTTTCTCTCCTCCGCGACGAGGACTAGAGAACGTTTAAACGAGCGAGCGTCTCCTCCTCATCGTACCCCATCGATTTACACCGATGTTATTATTATTATTGACGAGTCTTTGATTCATCTCTCGCGGGAGTAGATATAATTTAAATAATCACCTAAACAATAAATGCTTCATATTCTATCATCGAAAATCATTGCTCTTCTTCGATCAAAGAAAAAGAGAGGGAGAAAGGGAGAGGAGAAAGATATCGAATTCGATCTATTTACGAGGAAGATAAACTGTCCAAGAGAACCTCGAAGAGATCCCCATTCCCATTGCTCCTGCATCGTAACGGATCGTTGAAATAGGCGAAGACAGGAAGATATATATATATACATACATATATACCTATCGACTGAGACAGAAGCAGAGGAATCGGGGGTGGTTGAAGGGGGGCCAAGAGGGAGGGTCGAGCTGTCAAAGGCAGAGACGTTCGGGGATGGCCCCCATCCTCGTCCTCATTCTCGTCGTCTGTAATCGCGGGGGCGGCAACGTAGTCCTGTCTCCGACAGGATCACATCGCCACCGAGTTGCTACTGTACCTATACGTACGTACGTACGTACAACAATGTACGCTTGCTCGGAGGAGAGTACCCTGTTCCATCCTTGCCTGCCAGCCAACCAACGCGTGGACTGCCAATCTCGTCCGCCTAACGCAAAATCAAGTCAGAAATTGTCCCATTGTAACGTTACGTCGTCCTCTTTACTCGGATGGATCGCAAGAAGTGGAGGGGAGGACGAGGAGATCCATCGGTGATCAAGATAGATATCGAGAAAACGCGGGAAGAAGAAAATTCGATTCGATTTCCAGGCAGGTGATGTATCCGTCTCGTTGCTCGTCGCTATACGTCGTGTCTCGATTGTGATCAAGACATGGACGAGCAAGCGAATTCGAATTTAAATCTCGTTTGGATCTCGAGACGATCGATTAACTCGATCGATGCTCGATTAATCGGTCGATCGGTTCGTATTTCTCTCCCATAGCGAACGATACGTTGTAATTGCCACGGCGTAACAGAATACGAGGCGTATAGATCCTGACGTTGGAAATATCGTCGAAAGTAACTCGATCCGGGATACGAGATAAATAATAAATCCGCAACGAGGTGGACAGTAGGAGAAATGGCCCGTGTCCCGCGGCCCGGTAATAGCTCCACTCGATTAACCTTGACTATAATGCAACCGGTACTCCGGTTACGTTCCATCTATCCAGTTTAATTTAGTAGCCGGTTCATAACTCGTCGATACGCAAATCGAGCTACCGTATTATTATTATTATCATTACCACCTTTCCTAATATAATAAATTCAACAAAAACGGGGGGTATTGTAATACCCTCGTTCGAGGAGAGGAGAAGAGATGCCCAAAAAATTGCACGAATAAATCTAAAAAATTGAAATTCTCGATTCCCAAAAGATTCGCCTGGTCCGTACAAATAACGAAACCCGTATAAATCGCTTCATTAAAAATCCAACCGCTACTTCCTCGACTCCTAATTGCTCGAGGAGAGACCGGGGAGAAAATTCTCCAGGGGGTGACTCCGCGAGGAA